GTTCTTGAGACAGTGTCTTACTATACTGCCCAAGCTGGCCTTGAATTCCTTGACACAAGTGATCCTCCTACTTCAATCTCCCAAGTTACTAGAATTTCACAGGTTTGGCCACCTTGCCAGGGTCAGTGCAGGGTTTTAAATAAGGAAATGTTATTGTCTTAGTGACTTTTCTTGTTGATGAGACAAAATATCGAACACTAAAGTTAAAGGACAAAAGGTATATTGTAGCTCACAATTTGGAGAAATTTCAGTGCATAGTTGGATGGCTTCAAGGCAGGGTGGCATGACACAGGAGCATAGCCGAGGAGAAAGAGTTCGTGTCAGGTAGAAGGCAATAAGCAACAAAGCAGCAGCAGCCTGCCACACCCTTTTATCCCTTCCAGGCTACCTGCTCATTGAGTGGTGCCACCCACAACCAGGATGGGCCTTTCCATTATCCATACCTAGAACTATGCCAAACCAATCAGTGGACTAATTTAATAACCACACACCCTCAATCCCATCATCACACATCCTAGATCCAGCCATCACTGAAAAGCCCCACCCATGACTGCATGAGGCTTTGCGGGGACATCCAGACACAAGCGATAACAGTTGTGGTCAGATTTAAATCACCAATGTAACTCTGGTAATCATGTGGAGGTAGGTTAGAAGGTGTGAGGCTAGAAATCCCAATTGAAACTTACTGCAACAAGAGCAGAGAGTCTGAATGAAGTCTATGGCAGAGAGAGTAGAAAAGGAAGGAGGGATTTAATGAGTCCAAAAGATCAGCTGGTGATAGGAAAAAGCAGAGCCTTCAAGGCTAGAAAGATGTGACCCCATCGGTTAAGATTAGGGAGCTCTTAAAAAAGCGAAGGTTGTGGAAGTGGAGGAAGGGAGTCAGATCAGTTATGGCAAGTTCAACTGAAAAGTCTAGAAGTCAGAGACAAAAATCTTCAGGGAGAAGATGGATACATAACCCTGAGAACTACCAGAGGTCTAGTCTTTTGCTGTGAACTTAGAGGTCAACATATAGGGGATATTTAAACAAAAGGAGAATTCATGAGTCCAGAGCAAAAGCTAAAAGTGAAAAGGTGGCCAATAAGAAAATTTTCAGACAAGCAGACATGGAAAAGTGAGCCTGCAAGGACACTGAGAATGAGTGGTTAGAGAGCTGACTCAACAACCAGGCAATAAAGAGGCCCCAAAGTCAGGTAGAGAAAAAGGAGAAAATGGTCAAGGTTAGCAAAGGCCATGTTGAGCTGAGTAGAATGACTTGGACACATTTGTAAGTTGGGTAACTAGCAGATTGATCAGAGACACAGCGTTTTTAATGATACATTGATAAGGTATGGGATGGGTAGAGGTCAAATTATAGTGGGTGATGAATGGATAGGAAGTAAGAAAACATGGAAACATGTATAGATTAATCTTTTATTGAGGTTGACTCTTGCACATGAGGTGAGGCCAAGTCTAGGTTGAGTGGGGACTGGAGTAGATAAAATGGCTCCCTTATCCAAATCTATGGCACATGTTAAAAGCAAGTAAGTGGCCAGAGCTGAGAGTGAAGTGAGAAAGTGACCCCAGTGAGCCATATATGGAGTTTGAAAGGGTTCCCCAAGGTGGAAGACTAGAGCCAATGGCTGAAGCTGTATTAGGATCAAGGATAAGACAGATAGCTTATAGAATGTGCGGAGAAGACAGTGTGTGCTGCTGGGCCTGTAGTTCAAGGGGCTGATTAGGCCCCAGGATCAATGAGTGAGGGAGGAAACTAAGGAGAGAGTGAGGAGAGGTGAGGGCCTGGCAGTAGAAGTAGGGTAGTTTTTGAAGCTAAAAAACTAGGAAGTGGTGGTTTCCATATGTACAAATTCCAGAGAGAGAAGGAATCTAGGTGAAAAAGTGGATGACTTGGCCATGAGATTGGGCCACAGGATGAAGAAAACATGCAGGTTCTCAGAACTGGACAAAATTTTGGGAAGCTCAATGTGAAAATCTTCCCCATGGGCACCAAAGTTGCCCACAATGATGGAAGAAGTTGGATTCAAGGGGAAAAGCATATCTAAGTCCTCGGTGAACAGAATCCTAACCAGGAGATGCCAGTTGTTAATAAAGGAGGACAAAAAAAGCTAGATAGGAACTCAGGAAGGAGTTTTGCACAGGAGTGGACATAGAGCTACAGCAGTGGGCCCTGGGCACTGAAGCTGATGGCTTCAGCTCTTTCCAGACCAGCTGGGCTGCATAGGAGGTGGTACTTCTTCGAAGCTGGGATAGGAAATGAACATTTCTATTTCAATGACAGCACGCAAGAAGAGAAGACTATCTTTACCACAGACATGAAAACTATATGCTTTCAGAAACTAAAAATCATCTTTTATTTTCTGCCAGGACTATTGGATTGTTTCCAGGGAATCACAAAAAGACAGTTGCACTGACTAGGTAGTATTTAATATGATCAGGTCTTAAATAAGAAACCATGAACATAAACATTTAAAACCAAATATATAATAAATAATCATTAAGTTATAAAGTACATAGTTTATATTAAAACTAATTTCTCAGATGCAAATGTAAATACAACAGAGCCATAATATAGAATAATAATGCTACAATTTTACACAAGCATCCAAAGAAGACACTTTCAGCTAAAATAGCAAAAAAGTCATGACTAATTTTCCCTGAACTTCCATACTCCCATAACCTACAGCAATGTATTTGTTATTTTCTTCCTATTTCCTTTTTATTGGAACATTTTCCTTGTTCCTACAATAAGTACTGCTACAAATGCTATTAATATAATGTTGAACAACTGAACATCAGACTTAGTACAATATTTTACTCAAAAGTGTGGTCAGATGTTCCTGGAAGAGTACCCACAACCTTAGAGACTCCGATATATAAAGTTCTAAAAAATGCAGAATAAGCCTTACAGATGGACTGCACCTTTGTTTTACATTTAAGGAAATGGAAACAAAAATGTTTAAGCAAGTGGCCGTAAATTCATAGCCAACAGCATTTCAGGTCCCCTATATCACCTGCAAATGTGAAAAGAGGTATGCATGGGTTATTTTTATATCCCATTGAGAACTGGCTAAATCTAAATCACAAAGCAGTGAAAAAGATGGATCTGTTCAAGTCTCATTCCTTCATCTTATTTATTCTAAAACATTTCTTTTTCTGGGCAGCTGGTGGGATCTTTTCTGGCCAATGTCTCATTAAATTATTTTTACTAGAGTAGATACACTAGTGAAAGGGTTAGAACAGAGATTTCTAACAATAAAATAAATATGTTGGTTTAAATATAAAATCACAATGTTGAGAAGTAAACAAGTAAAAAACCAGGAACAAAAAGACTCTATTTTTTATACACTTTCTTTCAGAAGTTTTACATCTCTGTGCCTGATTTCAACTTTATGTCAACAACCTGAGCAGGCACATTTAACAATTTGGCAGACTTTATATCCTTATCATTACCAATGGCACATAATTTCATGATTTCTTTGTAGGAACATATTTTAAAATTTTAAAACAAAAGACCTTTGTAATGATAAAAGAGTACTTTGTTTCTGCTATGTTTCTATTTCTTCATTGAGATTTTATTAAATAATTGATCTTCCATATATCTTTTAGAAGTGTACATTAAATCTGTTTGTTTTTAAAATACTTTCAAGAAGATAAATGTTCTGAGAGCATAAAGCATTTCCCATCCACATCCTCATGCACACTCAGAGCCATTTTAACGATACAAAATTCTTAAATAGCTTATACCATTCTAGTGAAAATTTAATTATTCTAGAGTTTCTTATTTAAACAAACTTCTAGAATTGATATAAAATGACAGTTAAGAGCAGGTTGCATGTTTTTACTGTCCATGGGTGAAAGATTAGAACATTTATGCAGAAGTTTGTTTTGAACTGGGACAGGATTCCTGGCCTCCGAATTTGTTTCCCGATTTTGTTTTATGTGACTGATTACATTTGTTGTATACAAAGCATGCAAACAGAGTAGAAAAAAAAAAAACTAAACGTGTTTTGAAACGTCTTCATCACAGAAGTTTCATTTTAAAAAGAAGAAAGAAAGATTGGAATAAAGGAGGCGGTATATGGAGTTATCAGCTCACTCATAATACAACCATAGCAATTTGAGAAGAAAACTACAAGACTTTTTAACTATTTGGTTCCAGAAGGCTACCTGATATATATCCCTCTATAAATTTTAATTGATATTTTCACAAGCTTCAAATATTAGCTTATAAAGGGACGATATTAGGGGAAGGTAATATTCACCCTCTTCTTAATACTCTATTACCACTTTTAAAAAACAACAAACAATGAAAATCTATTCCATAAATACATTCATATCCATAGTATTTAAATATTTTATAAATCTAATAACAAAGTAATATTTTTTTACCCATATGGTGAAACTATTCCCCATGCTTAAATTACATGATTATATATGTTATACATTCTGAAATAAAAACTAAACTCCTCAGATATAAATTTTTAAACATTTAGTTTTCATTTCCTTTAAAGAATAAAGATTTAAACTTTTCATTTTGATTCTATGCTTTTGTATTTTCATCTTTTAAAGTATGACCATAATAAACCTCATACTTGTGGTAATCAAGATCGAGGCTAACACATGCTCAGTATGTTCCCAAACTGTATTCTTGGTTAAAATTTTTACTCTTCTTGTCCAGTCAAGAGATATCATAGTTGGGAAGTAAGATAAAAATAAAAAATTCAGTAGTCATAGAAATCTATGACACAGGAAACCAGAGTCTAGTTGAATAGAAAGTTTTCCCAAGTTGACCAAACATGTAGCATATAGATTAAACTGAAGTACTTCATAGTAATTTTGGGGAATAATCCTACCTTGCACACTTATCTTTTCCCCACCACTTATATATTATACTTATGTACTTGGACTACCAAGAAGTGAGTCTCACTACTGTGTTAGAGTACATAATATAGTGTCCAGCTTCAAGTTAGATCTTCAGGAATCTTCCTGCCCCAAGCATTCTAGGAAAGATGCTGATGAATCATCTGTGGAAATAGCATGCCATGAGTAATCTAAATATAAAAAGCAATTTGAATAGGTAAAGATAAAACAAAACAAGATACCTTCTGGAGAAGTGATTTCATTCTTTCTAGGAATTCTTGAGGTGGTTTTTTCTCATAAAAATCACATGAATGGCATGTCTAGAAATCAGTGAAAAAGTAACATTCTCCTTGTAAAAGTTTTTCCTGCTTAACAAAATATTCACTTAAAGTTTTTTTTTTTCCATGAAAGACAGAATTGTATTCATTGAACAACATTTGGAAAAGTACATAAAATTGTTCTGTGAGTAACAATGGGAAAACTCCTTGTAATCTCACCCCAGAGATACTACAATACTTTAATATGCATCCTTCCAGTGTTTTGATTTTTAATTTTATTTTCACTTATTTACACTAGTTAGTAATTTGTTTTGTTTTTAGTTAATTATCACACGAATTTCCTACATGTTAAGTATTCTTTAAAAATATGATGTATAATAGAAGCCTTGTAATCCAACATAAAATGGAATTGTTACTGTTTTTGGACACATGTTCCTTCACTTTTCACCTTTGAATACAATACTGCAAAGAACACATCTATAAATAATTTTTCATATGCATTTTAGTTTATTTTGAAAATACATAGAAGCAGGATAATGAAATTAAGGGGATAAAATTTTTAAGGCATTTGTACTATGTTGTAAAAAGTTTTACCTCCTTTTACCTGGAGCATTTTTATTTTGGGATTATTTTTTAAATTCTAATTGGAAAACAGGATTTCCTTATTTTTACTGGGGTTTATGTGATTACTAGGAAGATTAAGTAATTTTTCATGTGTGTAGGCTGGTTACATTTATTTATTTCTTCCTTCACTTCTTAATTTCTTGGTTTATGGGCTTTATTTATTTATTTATTTTTTTGGTACCAGGGATTGAACTCGGGTCTTTGAGCTTACAAGGCAGGCCACCAAATCACTGAGCTAAATCCCCGGCCCTATGGGTTTTATTCTTATTCCTGTAGGTTTACCAAACACTAGGCCATTGCTTGATACTTAGCACTGAATATTAATCTTAATGTGTAGTGAAAACATCTGGTTGAAAGATAACAGATAAATTCTAGTTCTTATTCTGACAGTTAACTATTTTCTGGGACTTGGGCCAAGTCACTTCTTTAGTAGGACTCAAAGCTGATTAAAGGGATAGTTCTGAGTTCAATGCCAACAATGCCATTTCATGAGTCTTTGATTTGTGGTTTGAAAGCCATGCTCAACTCCTTTCTTTATGAAGAAAAGTTTTAAAGGGTGTTTTTCACATGGTAACCTGGCCATGCAATCAAAGGACGAATCATCTTGATAATGTCATTAAGGTTTCATTTGAATCACATGTTGAGTTTCTTAGAGGAGGGAGAACTGATAAAAATTAGAGTAACTTTATGTGATTTCCATGGTTTTGATTAATGTTTAAATTACTCGTGTTCTTGAGTATCAGCATTGCTCATGAGTTGGCAAAAGAGATAAAAAGAAGGACTCTGGTCCCCCAAATGGGATATTGAAATTTCCCAGGCAAGAAATTGGGTGTACTTATTTATTTAAATTCCATACTGATTCTGCTATTGTCCAAAACAATAATATTCTTTAAGAGAAGAAAACAGTTTGAGATTTATCTTGGTCTCTTACAGGCTTTTATCTTGTCCAAAAACTAGAAGATAGCACCTATTAATAAGAATACAAGTAGGGCTGGGGATTTAGCTCAGTGGCACCACAGCTGCCTCACAAGTACAAGGACCTGAGTTCAATCCCCAGCACAAAAAAAAAAAAAAAAAAAAAGAATGCAAGTTATATGTGATCATATATGTAATAAGAAGGAAATATTTCTTAACTTTTAAATTACAATTGGATTATCTTCCTAATAACCTCTCACTTTGGGAAGTAAATTAACATATATATTCCAGCTATTATTAGGAAATAATAATAATAATAAATAATTTGCTGGCAGTTGAGTTTCAAGTACTGGGAAAGAGGAGTTCCCATTTCTCAAAATCTACCATTTATGACAAGGTGTAACTGTTTGGGAAGGCACTGGAGGCTCTGGCTAAAACTGTATGTGTGTGTGCATGCATGTGTTGTACTATAATAGCTATATTACATTATAGTTAATACATATAAAATATGTGATAAATGACAATCTTACTTGTCTGTGTTTCTGTCTTCTCCCTGTCTTTGAGAGAGGTAGTTTCCTCTTCAATTGTTTAATTAATACATTGATTATCTTTTCATTGCCTCCTGTTTTTGCCGACTTGAGTTCAGCCTTCTGAAAACATGAAAAAGCTGAGTGCTCACAGTGTTCCTGAAAAAGAAATAAGTTGTATGCATGTGAGTAAAAGTTATTAAAAAAGTTAAAATGATCTTCCTGATTATCTGTGTTGACCTCTATTAAGTGTTTTGGATCATATTATTTCAACAGAAGAGTGAGGTCTGATTTCACCTCCACTTAATCTTTGGCCAAAAGAAATGGAGGAGCCTGCATGAAAATTTCCTCTTGTCTTAGGGAAGAAGGGACATTTGTTTTCCTGTGCTGCAAAAATGAGGGAAGAGAGTGTTAATTTTCACAGTTCTTTACTGCTAGTGCTCTACGAGAACCATTTTGATGTCTGGGTGGTAGGTATGGCCTTTGTGTTTTATAAGGGACAGTTAATTTGGTTTAAGAACAGCCACTTTATTTATTCATTTGTTGATGGGTATCCAGGCTTTTTCCATAGTTTAGCTATTGTGAATCACACTGCTACAAATATAGCTGTTCAAGAATCACTATAGTGCAATGACTTGAACTCTTTCAGGAAAAATATCCAGGAGAGGTATAACTGGGTCCAACAAAATTTCTATTTTAAGTTCTTTGAGGGTATTAACTAAAACAATAAAGAAAGATGAATTCAAGTAGGAAAATGGATAGATCTTGAGACCATTATTTTGAATGAGACTCAGGTTATATATCACATGGTTTCTTTTGAATCCAAAATATATATAAATTAAAGAATAAAATAATAGAAATAGAAAGGTAGTTTTTGGAAATGAGGAAAGTGATCAGAGGAAGGAAGGAGGAGGGAAGGTAGAAAAGAAAGGGAATAAAAATGCAAGTAGGAAAATGGATAGATCTTGAGACCATTATTTTGAATGAGACTCAGGTTATATATCACATGGTTTCTTTTGAATCCAAAATATATATAAATTAAAGAATAAAATAATAGAAATAGAAAGGTAGTTTTTGGAAATGAGGAAAGTGATCAGAGGAAGGAAGGAGGAGGGAAGGTAGAAAAGAAAGGGAATAAAAATGTGTAAGTTGCATTTTCTCTTTCAGCAAGTGCGTGTGTGGGTGTGTGTGTGTGTGTGTGTGGTTATTTCCCCTTGGAGTTGCTAAGTCTTCATTTCACTAACGGGCATAGAAGGCACTACCTTATAACCAGAAACCTCAGTCATTCCCAATCCTTGCAGTAGTAGTCCTACACATAATGTTACCTGAATCTTCTCATGGACAATCAGCTGAAAATAGCATCTAGCCTGATTTGCATTTTCCAACCCATATGCTTACCCAACATGAATGTTGATTAATAATGCATCTTTAAGACACAACCCATCAGGTGTGCTTTGCATATATAGCCACAAGCTGAGAACCAGTTATCTGCTTTTCCTTCTATCAGGGCAACTTGCCTTTCATAAGGGCAAGGTGCTGTCCTTTCCATATTTGCCAAAATGCTTATTTAATAGAAACTATTTATAAATGTTAATTTTAGCACTTTTTTTTCCTTGAAAACCACATGTTCATGTTTGTTGAAGTTTTTTTTCTTTTCTCTTCTTTTTGACCACAACCGGCTTAACTTACTGGAAAAAAATAATATTCATATTTAAAGAGGTAAATTTTCCAGCTGAAACTGAAAACACTAACTGCTTCATCCGTGATGATCTGAGAAACCAGCATTTCTCACAGAGGCCCATTATGCTGAGTTAACATTTTCATTTGTGTGCTGAAAGAAAATTAGGTTCCAGAGAAATAGAGGGGTCGTATGGAACAGACTTCTTTGAGACAATATTGCCAAGGAATGGTCAAGACAAGTGGCCAAAGCTTTTACACCAGACGCCTTTCTGAAAGTCCCTATGATGAGAAGAGAAAGACAGCTTCTAGTGCTACTCTTCCATGTTCACGTTAATAAAGGTGTTTTGCATAGTCCTGCAAGCAGCAGAGATATCTCTAGCAATGTGTGATCCAGGACAAATGACCACTGGATTTAATCTTAGATGCACATCAAAGGCAGCCCCAAAGAAGAAAAGAACTGGAAGAGCTATCCCTGCTCATTTCCTGAAGGGTATGTGAAGGATAGTGGACAGATTATCCAAGGCTCCAGCAGCCTTAGGCGCTGTCACTCAGAAGTGTACAGGATGGTCTAAGTATGTGAGCATCCAGTGCTTTCCTTCGCTATGCCTTGGTGACAGCAAACTCTGAGGGCAAGCTTTGTTTACTATATCCTTTAACACACAAGAGCATGAGTTTTTCTGGTACTGTGTTAGTTTTGCAAACTATAAGGAGCAGTGATGAGAAAATTAAAGGCCAAAGTGAAAAACTTCTCTCTTTAGCCAGAGAACAAGTCAATCACTGCTTTGGGGAGAAAAAAAGACATACTTGGCTCTGTTGTTTTACAATTGACTATTTGAAAATATTTGCCTCCTCAAAGCCTACTTATATATTTTTTTCTTTTGCAAAAAAAAACATTGCTGGGCTGGCGATTTAGCTCAGTGGTTCTGCTGCCTGTTTCGCAAGTGCAAGGTCCCAAGTTCAATCCCCAGTATCAAAAACAAAAACAAACAAAGAAACAAACAACAAAACATTGCCATTCCTAGTGGGAAAAATCTCACTAACTTGGTAGGATTACCACAATATCAGGGTTTCCCAGTAGTAGCACTATTGACATATTGGACTGGATCATTCTGCTGTCAGATCTGTGTTATGTGTTAAATGTTCAGATCTGTGAATATTTAGCAGCATCCCTGTTGTCTCACTACCAAATGCCAGTAGCATCTCCACCTCCATCCTTAACGGTGCAACCAAAAATTTCTTCAGCCAGTGTTCTCTGGTGTGCAAACTTAGCACCACTTAAGGACGACTGGTTATAAGATTAGAAGAGGAAAGAGGAGGTGGGGGAGAAGGGAGGGGAGAAGAAACAGCAAGGCCAGTTAGGGATCTTAGATAATCACTATATAAATGCAGCCTTTCAGTGGCTTTATTTTCATTAAACTTTTTAATCTTTTAAAGTCTGCTATAGATCTGGCTTTGATGCTTGCCCTGAAATACTTGATATAATGCTAATGTGGCCTTGACTATTTTCTTCCTGAGTTTGCCTACCTGTATACTTTAAAGATCTTAGTTATATGACTACTCACTTGTCTCATAGACCGTATTGCTTGATCAGATTATCAGACAGATACAGTATCTCTTAGACAAAATCCTCTTATGGTGATGTAACATAAAAAGTGTCTCTCGGTGAGAGATTACTAGAGGATGGGAAGTGTTTAGGGGGGAGGGGTATGTAAAAGAAGGGTGGATGGACGAGACCTATGTACCATGTATGCATATGGAAGCATCACAGTGAATCCCATAATTGTACAATTAGCATGTGTTGATAATAATAATAATATATATTAAAAGTGGTTACTGGAAAATTTAAACTTAAAAAAAACTTTTTCTTAATAAAATATATAAAAGGAGTTCTGTACCTATTGGGTCAAATCAAGTCAATGAAAATATTCATTTTCTATTTCTTATTTTGCAAGCTGTAGTCTGCAGCTAGGAAACCCTGGAAAGGACTCTAGCTACTTTAGATAAAGTTGGTTCACCATATTCTGGAAAATGTATGTTTTGACAGACATAAATGAAGAAATATTCTCACTTATTAGAAAAGGACTTCCAATAAGTTGAATGTGCTACTTTCATTTTAGATGCTGCTTGTTAGAAAAGAATCTAGTAACTAGGAGAGTGCTTAGGTTTAGAGCTAGAGAGTGAATTTTAGAGAAAAGCAATAGTTGTGACTCATTCACTTTCTAAGCTTTTACACATAGTCATTTACCATAATTGTTTTCTTTCCAATGTATCTTTATAAATCTCCCCCTTTGTAGTGTCCTAATTACTGGTAGCACTTTCATAGTTATCCTAATTTATGCAATTAAAGGTCTATGACAATGAAAACATTTCCCCATTGCATTTATTCTCTCAGAGTCCAAACCAGAAGATCAGATTGAAGTTACTGGGACAAAAGCTCAGCAGACATCACTCTTGAACTACACAACAGAACTCTTCTCCTTGGGACTTGAATTTAAACAGTTCAGGAGATGGAATGAATCCTTGAAAGTGATCCTTTCAAAAGACTTCAATGAAGGCCAAAGACAAGACTCACTGAGGACAAGGTATATAAGGATTGTACTCTAAAAGGGGGCTTTGATTTCTACACTACTATTTCTCCACCCTATTTCTTTTTTAGCTTGTCATTAAAAAGTTAATCTGTTCTTATGTGTTTCTATATTTCTTAAATAAGATTACCAAGAAGGCTCAAGAGCTTTCATGCCCAAGTACTTTATAATGTAACTAGCTTTTCCTTGCACCAAAACTAATCATAGTATAGATTTCTTTTCTAATTTTGTCATTCTGTCTTAATGCTACTTAAGAGAAGTCTTAAAGATGCTTGAAGATAAACATATATTTTATAAGGAATATAATATAGCATTTTATTATTTATTTTTCTGGTAATCTATGAATATTTAACAAAAATAGAAATAAATATTTTACTAATTATTTAACCTCCAAATTTATGGAAATTAAGTACAGTATATTCCTAAATAACCATCCTCAGGCCTTTCTTAGTGGATTTTAAAACATATTCAGTATACTTTCAGAAGTCATTTCATCAGGTCTTACCTTTACATCTTCTGGAGCTCTCAACAATACAGGATTCTAGAGCAAAAGAAAATTTGAGTTACTTTTATAAGTCAAAAGCCTTCTTTTACATTAATTGAAAAACACTACTTAAATTTTGTTGTAACAAGTATGATCTTACCAAGTCATTCACATATTTTTTCAGCTGATCAACAGTATCTATAAGCTGATTCATTCTAATCATGAGGTGATCTTGTCCTTGGGAGCTTGATTTATGGGCCACTGTCCCCAAGAAGATGACCATCAGACAGATAACTATCCTTTCCATGTTGCCAGAACTGGATCTCATGAGTGCCAAAAGTGGAGCAACACCTTGGTCTCCTTTGCACTTCAGTTTGACTGTGAGCAGATTGTCAGTACAGCTACCTATTTATTCATCCTACAAGGAGAAGCAAAGCCCTCCCATTGCAGCCTGGAAATCTTTGTAAAATGGATGAATGTGAGTAACTCTTTTTTCTTTTCCACTGGCTAGGTATACGTGTGCATGTGCTAATGCGTGGGGGCAGGGATTGATGGAGTCAACGAAATGTGCCCGATCTGCATCTTAGACAGGAAAAAGAGAGAAATGGGTGAATTCCAATTTTCGGCATGAATCAAGAAGTGTGTGTGTGATAAGCAGTAGATACTATAAGACCTTAAAAAGTAAACACAAACACTTTGATCTCTTTTTCTCTGTATGCCCTGGCATCTTACCTGTCCTCCCTGACAGTCATAAAAGCACTTCTCTGATGAGTAAAGTGGCAACAAGGACTTTTTCTTATGGTAATGACTATGTCTTTTGACTGAAATCATCCTATATTCCATCATAAATATAGGAGAGATTACCTTTTAGGAAATTTTAAATAAATGGGGTATTTTCCTAACTAGCAAGTATTTTAGATTTTTATCAGGCTTCAACAATTTGAAATAGAATTTGTTTTCAGTTATTCACCAGAGCATCTTTAAATAAAATTAATGTTGTCTTCTGGCATTTTATTTAACAATCTTATTTCTAAATATTATCATTTTATATTTTTATATTTTATATATAATATATTTTAGTGAACTCTATGAAAAATGTACCCCCCCAACCAGGATCTTACTGTATCTTCTTTAAAATAATCACATACAAATTACCTAATATCTATCTCTTCAGTATAATTCATCAGTTAAATGAAAAGTGCTAATACAACTCATTCATGTCTAAATTTTTAAAATTTTACAAACAACAAAATTAAAAGTGCCCATAAATTGTTCTTTTTCTCTTAGTGTCACTTATTTCTGTTAGATACTCTTTCCTCTGGGTATGAGCAACACATTTCTAACTGCATATATCGTAGGAGAAGGTAAAGGACTCAAAGTCTAGAAATGGTTGTATCTTGCTCCCTGTCTCCTGCTTCTCTTGTCCCTGAGACTGTTTGTCTATGTGAAATTTTCATAAAATAGTCTATCTAAAAACAGTATTGTACACTGATAGGTCTTACAAGAAATGTATTATATAGCCAAGCTAAATTGGAGCTTGGACTTGATTTGCTTGGAAGGTTAACTCTGGTCTTTTTATCATACAATTTCTACCCAAGAATATACAGATTTGCTGTGTGCAGTAGCACATGCCTGTAATCCCAACTACTCAGAAGCATGAAGCAGGAGGATTGTGATTTTAAGGTCAGCCTGGGAACTTAGCAAGACCCTGTCTTAAAATAAAAATTAATAATGATAATAATAATTTTAAAGGCTTGAGATGTAGCTCAGTGATACAGCACTTCCCAGCATGTGAAAGGTCCTAGGTTTAGTAACTTTACCCACCAAATTGAAAAAATAAAAGAATATACAGGTTGGGCCTTACATAATAGATGAGAATTTTATAATATGATCAAGAAGTCCTTACTATAATCATTGTGTTCTGTAGGGCTGGGTTCTCCATAAACTTACTAGTTGACATTGTCTAAGGAATGCCACTTGGCCTCTCAGCCTTGCCTGTAAGGTCCTGGTGCATGATTTTCTTATCTACCTAAATAGATACTCATCACCCCGAGTCACTAACCCCAGTGGTTAAGGGTTCAATTTCTACAGCAAAGTGCTTGGGTTCAAACCCAGACTTTTAACAATTAGTAGCATATGTGATGCTGAGTATGCTATTGCAAAGGAGACAGAATCTAATCACAGAGCTGAAATGAGTCTTCAATGAGACTTTCCTAGTAGAAGGCTAAGTACAGCACATGGTAGAATCCTAGGAGGTCTGCATGCTGGCTATGGATGATGGCGGAGAGAACAATTTATAGATCCATGGAAGGAAGAGTATGGGTAGGTCAGCGTTAAGCCAAAATACACGAGCATGGCTACAATGGTTTTCAAACAGGTGAAAGTCATATTGCCTACTTAGAATCACTGTTCATGGCCCTGAGTGCCTCCCTGTGACAATAGAAACCCCAATCCCTCCCTGAGACCTCCCAGCATTTCCTCAATCTGTCAATCAATATATCAAGGGTCTCCAGGGTTCTAAGACCTTTCTGAGAGTCAGGATTCCTACCCTTAGTGGCATGTCAGTTGTTAAACATTTTCAATATCACCCCTGGTATGAGAGACTGAATAATACTTCCCCATCCACTGTCCTAATTCCTGGAACCTAAGAGTTATCACTTTCTATGACAAAAGGTACTTTGCATATTGATGAAATTGAGATTCTTGAGACAGGGAAGAGCATCCTATATTTAGATAAGTCTGGGGTAATGACTGGATTCGTAAAAGGAAGGTAGGAAAGGCAAAGTGTAAAAAGGAGATGCGATGGCAGAAACAAGTTGGAGTGACGCAGGGGCCAAGCCACGGAATGCAAGTGGCCCCCAGAAGCTGGGAAAGTCAAGGGTTGAATTCTCCCCTAGAGCTCCTAAAAGGAATGTCCCTCACCCATACTTGGATTTAACCCTATCATAAAGCTTATTTTGGACTTTTGACAGTCAGAACTGCAAGTTTAGGTTGTGTTAAGCCAATGAGGGTGTGGTGGTTTGTTACAATAGTAAAGAAAGTAAAGTACTTGGATAAGGACTTTTCACTCTTGTGAAAAAGGCAGAAAAAGGAGAAAAGACAAAGGGTGATAAGTGTAGAACCAAAAAAAGCTGAAATTTTGTTGGGCTTTGGGAGGGTTCAGGCAGAGGGGGCAAGGACATGTAAAGAGAAGGAAGTGAGATTATGTGGCTGCCATGCGGTAGGGAACTTTAGGGATAGAAATGCTTGTGGATTTTCTGGGAAATGTGTTCCTCACCTGGAGAAGGCTTCAGTTCGGAGAGATATTGTGTTTCAAAGCTGAGGCTCAGTTTATCTTCATTTAATTTTTTGTCACTATGTCAAGATGGAGCTTAACCTAGGAGCTCTGAGGTTTAACTGAGTCACACAAGTAAAACAGATCATCCTTTTCTTAGAGATATTAACCCTGTTACTGCCTTTATAGCAGCACATCATTGTGGTGCTTTTTGCTCTTTACATTATAATCACTTTTATAAGCTAATACAATCAGTCTTGCTATAACACTTGTTCTGAAAAATGAGAATTTATCCTAATGGGAAGAATTTGAACATAAGAGTTCGGTGTTCACTTATGTGTGATTTTTGACTACGAGAAACTCTATGTGATTGCAAAAAACAGAATCTTCCTAAGCCGAGCTGTGTAAGAACATACAAATGCACACACACACACACACACCTCAGAGACTCACCAGCAGCATTAATTCAATGTGTGTCACGAGCCACACACATCCAAGTCTAGTGTCACAATTTTCTATCCCAGAGAACCCTCCTTGGCCATATCTCAGTAACTCCCAAACTGCAACCCTTCCAATACCCATGTCCAGGAGCCAACTCCAGGTCTGTCTCTAGGTAAAGTGTCATATTTATTGTACTGTTTGTGTATTTCTTAGCCATTTAGCACGTCTGACATTTCTATCTTTTTTATTAGGCTCCCACCTCTTTTTCTGTGTCACTGATAACGTTTCTGAGTGTTCTATCGAAAACCTCACTTTCTCCACAAGCCCATGGTTTTATTGTGCAGTTTTGTGTGGGAAAGTGACTTTTACAAATGTGTATGTCACATTATAGCAGAATGTATTTTGTTTTCCAACATCACATTTAATCCTCATCGCAACCATTTATACCCAAGCGAAAAACAAGACTAAGATATAGGGTTTATTGTTAAGGAGAGAGGAAAAGGGAGGATGAAAAAGGAAGGAAAAGAAAATGATAAACTTTCTCATTCAACACAACACACCTGAGCATGGGTTATAGAGAAATTCTAGCATCCACTCCTTTCACAGGGCCTTTCTCTTGGTATCAGTGGCGCCTATGAATGTGTTTCAGGAGTCTATGAGCCTCCTGAAATCATTACAGAATTCTATGTTAATATTTGTGGAGAGAGAAAAACCTTAAGGTTCATTAGCTTCTCAGAGGAATTGTCATGCAACTGCTTTCTTTATTGTCCAGCCTCCAGAGACTTTTGTGAAGGCTGGGCGAACCATATTCCTTCAACATTCACAGCACTGTGTGTGAGAGCGGCAGCTCCAGAATTTGCAACCAAAAGACACTAAGAGGCAGCAGGTTGGCTGGAAGCCATACATGTACAGTAAATGCATTGCTTTGACTTAGCATCCATGTTTATTTGGTACCTTGGAATGAGGCGGTAAATTTTACCTGGTGTGTTCTTCTCAGGAATCTAAGAAAGGCCATAACCATGAAAACACTTGAGAGTTTTCTACTCAAGAGGACTCACTGACATATTTCAAGAACTTTCTTTAATGGCCTATGCTTATAGATAACTGGTTAGGGCAGAAAGGAGAACAAGGAACTGAAGGAAAGCTCCTAGGCAAAGAGGAACATAGGGAAGGAAATGAATTCCGAGAATGAATGATTTTTACATGAGGAAAGCTGAGCCAAATCTAATACTGGACGGACACTATCTCTACCCATCTCCCTTTCCCTGTCTTCTTGTGAGCGCTGTGTGTCAGGTGCCTGCTTTCTGCTTTTATTTGTGTTGGCCCCTCAAGGGTAAAACTGGATATTCTGCATGGCAAACTGGGAAGAAAGGCCGCCAGCGTTTCGAATGATGTAAATTATGTGTCGCTCCTGCACCCTGAGGAGGCAAACTTGAGGCTCATCTCTGGGCTACTGTGAGCCTTGTATAGGTCTATATCCAACTTGAAGAAAATCTTCTAATTTGAGGCAATTTTTATATTTTCTAACAATTTCAAGTAACTAGTGAAATATTTTAACAATATCAAGAAGAGTCCTCAAGGATGTGCTAGAGACCTGTCTGCATACTTACCTT